GACCTGGGAAGAGCCACCAGATCAATTCTGCTCCTCCCAACACCCTCAGTTCTCATTGCCACCCTCCCCCGGTGTCCCATCATCTGCTATTCACCGAAAGCAGTGCTGTGGGGTACCAGGTGGCTGGACCAGCACCCTGTCAAGGGGCCAGTGAGCAGAAGTTGCTTCTACCACAAAGGCAGGCTGTGCCTATGACACCCAGCACCCGCTTCCTTGTGGAAAACCAAGTTGGACAAGAGCTGGACAGTGGAAGCGTGGACAGCTGAGGGTGTTAGGAAAGAGAGGTGCCTGTCCCCATGTGTGGGGGGCTGTAGGCAAGCCCAAGCTTTGTAGGATCTTATGAGGGACAACCAGATGGCCAGCTGTGGGGCAACAGCTGTGACACTTACCTCTCTCCATCCCCCATCCACACACACCAGACGTTCTCTGGTCTCTGGTACTATTGATACTAAATGTTGTTTTCCCAAAGCCAAGTAGAGACCATCAAGACTCTGAGCTCAACTGTCACTGCCAGCAACCAGCTGAACCAAGAATACTCTGTTCTGTCCCCCAGGTGTGAGGGCAGCAGGGAGTGAGCCACCCAGTGGCCTGGCCCACACCTCCCAGCTTGTCACAAGTTGTAGGGTACATCAGTGGAGAATTAGGAACCCACAGAAATAAAGGTGGTGCCCTGTCAGGTCCAACCCATCCTTGGCAGACAAGAGATCCTGATACAGAACAGACAACTCGACCAGCCACAGGTCACAGAGCCAAAGACACTATGCTGTTCTCTGTGGCATGGCTCCTAGGATGCTCCCTGAGTTTATCTTTCTGCATAGCCTTGGTCTTAAAAGTAATTGGAAATTGATTTTTCTTTTACTTTGTGGTCCTTGGATTTAATCGTTCCATGGTACAGCTGAATCTCTACCTCCTCACCAAGGACAGTGACTCCAGATCCCTTTTCTGCCCATCCCGGGTAGGGCTGAACACACAAGATATCCTTGCCAGAGCTTGGATTATGTCCCCAGGCCCATGTCCCTTGTAAACACTCATCATGGGAGATCTCCTGGCTGGCCCTATCACTTTCAGGGAAAAGGCTGAAACTGGGACTTTGCTTTTTGGCCCACCTCGTCTACACCAGTGCACCATGTTGAACTATGCAAATCAGCAGTCAGCACCTGGTTTGCAGAGGATTCACACAGCAAACAGCAGCTTGGAGTCCTGAGGAAGCTGTACCAGCAACATCTCAGCCACTGGACCTTCCTGCTCAGTCAGTGGAGCGAGCATTCACTGTGCTGTAGATGCACACACTCACCCTGCCTCGCACTGGACTCACCCAGACCCTCTCACCCAGAATGTCTCTCTTCATCCCCACCCACCTGGCTTGGAGTCTGCTACAGAGGGACAAATCTGTAAGTACTGCAAGCTGGCAAGCACTCCACCCCGCTCAGCTCATGGAGCCCTCAGCACTGCAGAGGTAGGCACTCACTGCATTGCAAAGAGGAGGTGGGTGACTGTACAGAGCTTGCACAAAGGGGCATCTCTGCTCTGGTCAATCTGCTCCCAGAGGTTTTGTGGCAATCTTGGTGGACCTGAGTCCACCCCAGCCCCACTGACCATAACCAACTTTGGCTCAGAACCTCTAAGGCAGCCAGACACCCTTCCTCAAGGGTATAGCATGCTCACTGGGTATGGCTGCTGTGGGGGCCAGAGGGGCTGACAAAAAGCTGCTAATGACCTGAAGCTCCAGAATTGCCCACACCAGCCCCCACTGCACTCCCAGCTTCCCTTGGTAACTCCTGCTCGGCTCACAGAGCCTCGGTGAGCTGGCCTGTGGCAGGAGCAGGACCAACTACTTCTGGCCTCCCCGTAGGCTCTGGGCTCATCAGCATGGCTGTGGGTATTTGAAGAGGACCCAGCTCCACCCTCCCTGTCCATGTGGGGGCCCCTGCAGGATGGGAGTGGACAAACCTGTGCTCTGCACCCCGCCTCTTTGCAGGGGATAGAAGGGAATTAAAATCCACCCTTTTGCACCCCTCCCCCACATAGCCCCATCCTCCCTATCCCTCATTTACATCCTTCCCAGAACTGACACACCCTATTTGGATGAACAGGAAAAGAGGAGCCCGGCCCCTTAAAGATGGGCAACAGCAACTTGCTGACTCTCCTGCCCGGTGGCTTTTGTCACCATGCAAGCCTGAGCACCAGCCACTCTTTCTCCAAGGCAAGCCATGGGTGTCTGTTCATCTTGTCTGCTCAGGATGCCCATCCTGAAGGGAGCCTGGGTCCTGCCCTGTCCCTTCCTCCACATGGCTGTCAGGACTCAGCCTCCTGGGGAGCCCTCTTCTCCCCCCAAATAGCACTCGTGGATGTCAGCCTCTCCAGCCGTGGCATCTCAGGCAGCACCCACAAAACCTGGGGTGCAGTCACAGCCTCACTTTGTTATTTCATGTCTGTGGGTTCTGCTTGGCCTGAGCATAGAGATTTTCTTGGCTACACTCTGCTTCTGGATTCTCTGTCTCCTCCACCCTGTGGTTTGGACGCCTGGAGACGGGTACTGCTTCACAAGAGACCTTCAAGGCTGCCCCCTCCTCCATGCTGAGTCCAAGGTTGGGGGTGCTAGGGCTGGAGAGGCCTCCCAGCAGAGGGCCCTCCAAGCGCAGAGTGGTGGCCCTTCAGCCTTCTCCTCCAACTGAGTTTGGGGAGCCAACCTTAAGCCCCAAGGTTCTTGGGATTTGTTTGAAAGCTGAATCCTTTTTTGGTCTCAAAGGCAGTTTGAGCCCTAAACGAGCACTTCCACAAGACCTCAAGGCCCCTCTCTCTCTCCTTTATCCAAGACTCAGAAGTGCTGGCTGCAGGCACAAGGACAGCTGTCACCTCTGACCGTGACTGTCCTGAGAGACCAGGCCTGAGAAGGGCAGAGGGCAGCACCACCTAAGCTCCCATGGCCACTCACTGCCTCCAAGGACTGAGCTAACAACCCAAGCTCCTGCCACAGGCCTCCAAAGAGGTGCCAAACAGTGACCAGAGGACAGCGAGGCTGCCCCAGCGCTGCCCCACTGCCCCATCCGGGTGGGCAAACGCATGCCCAGCAAGCAAAGCTGCTGTGGTCCCGGGAGCATGCCCTGTATGCCTTCAGGAACATCCCACTCAGGGGCTGCAAGAAGGGGACTGCCCCTCCACCTGGAGAGGGAAGGCGAGACGTGGAGCCCTCACGTCCTGAAGGAGCCCTGCGGCCCTCAGAGGGTCCTCGCTGGCAGGTTGGGGAGGATGGAAGACTAAAGCAGATTTAGGCCAGAGGAGCTGGCTTTGAAGAGGGAGGAGAGGGTGTCAGGACCAGCAACCACCCTAACAGGCAGACACGCTTGCACAAGTACACACATGCCTAGCACTGGGGATGTGATACACACTGTGCTGCAGGAAGAGAAAGTCAGAGTTGTACAGAACTGAAAACAAAATGTCACAGATACCTGCTTGCCATAGAGCCCAGAAGAGGCGACTGGGCAGGGGTGAAGGAGAAAACAGGGAGCAGGTTTAGCTGGCAGCCCTGTGTAGGGGCTCCACAGAGAACCCACAGATTCCACAAAGGAGAGTGGACACTGTGAGCTGTGGAGGGCAGGGCCTCTGCTGTGGCTCCAGACAGGTCTGTGTCAGAGGTTTATCCTGGTCTTATCACCTGACAGCCACTGGAGCACCTTTGTTCCCATGGGGTCTCAGAATGATTCTGTCAGGGCCTGTCATGCAGCACACACTGGGGTCCTGCCAGGGCTTGGGGCACCCCCTCCTGAAGGTCCTGGGGTGACTCATCTCAGTGGAGGATTCACAAACTGCTCCCATGGTCCACGGCTTCCCACATCAGATACCCCACAGCGCCCACTCCTCCCTCCCCAGGCATCCCAGGCCTGGCTCCCTCAGATACCTTCCCTGACCCAGGAGTGAGGTTCCTTGCTGGGTTTTGTAGCAGGAAGATCCTGTCAGCACAGATGCTGCACAGGGTGTCATCATGGAGAGCTATGTCTAGGCTGCTGGAAACGAGTGGGGTCCACCTCCAGGACCCAAGTAGGCACACCCCACAACAGCCCTGGATAGGGTAGAATGAGCCTCTGGACCACCGACCATCAGCTCCCAGAGTCACCTGGGCTGCACCTTGGGATTGGCTGCTATGCTGCTGCCTCAGTCTGAATGTTTGTGTCACCAGATTCAGGTAGCGCAACCTAAGAACCAATGCTATAGTATTAAGAGGCAGCCCTCTGGGTGTGTGTGATGGGGTGATCAGAGCTCTCATGAAAGAGGCCGGAATGGGCACTTTGCCCTGTGAAGACAGAGCCAGACAGCCCTTAACAGACATTGCATCTGCTTGCATCTTGACCCTGGCCTTTGCAGCCTCAGAACTGTGATAAAGACATTTCTCTTGTTTATAAGCCATCCAGTCTATAGTATTTTGTTATAGCAGCCTCAACAGACTCAGAAAGAAGTCCAGAGGGGGCTGATCAGGAGTGCCCAGCAGGTGCGCTGGAAAGACAGGGGACAAGCTGTCTCCATGACACCAGCATGCTCTGTCCGCAAGGACTGCACTGCAGATCAGGCTCCAGGTCAGACCGGGACCCTCCAGAGTCTCCTGGGCCTGACCCACATCAGAGTTTGAGCTTCAGCATCCGGTCGGAGCTGACACTGGAACACCGGCTGGGGTTCCACACAGGCGCTCTGCCAGGCAAGCTCTCGGTCGTTTGGGGCTAAAAGCCGTCCCAATGAGCGCCCCCCACACACACTGCCTCCTTCCCATGGGGCACTAGTGCTCTCAGCCCCTGCCATCGCCACCTGTCTGTGGAATCAGACTTTCCAGATGAGGCTCTGTCTTGTGCTTCCTCGCCTCCCACCCTGCATCTTGCCTGCAAGCTCACGAATCCATGCTGGGTCCCATTGCCAAAGAACCAAACTTTGAAAGTCCACCTGTCCCCCTACTGCCCCACCTGCCTCACTTGTCCCTCACAACAGCCCATGCACTTGGGATCTCCACTCACCTGACCCTGCAGTAGAGAAAACACCTCCCATGCTCAGCCCACCAGCAAAACAGCTTTAGCCGCCACCACCACGCCTGGATCTGCATGGAGCTGCATGCCTGAAGACCAGGGCCACCTGCCCCAAGGCCAGAGCCACAGAGTCTAAATCAGAGCTGCCTGCTCCAAGGTCAGGGTCAGGGCCAGGCCTGACTCATTGCTTAACACTGCCTTGCCAGGGCCTGGACACACCAGGTTCGGTATTTGTTCGAGTAGTGAGAGAAGGAATAAACAAAGCTGTTCTCAGCTCTTATAGCAGTCTGCACATGAGCAGCAAGCTCTGTTGTTCCCTGACCACTTCCTCTGGGGACAGGACTCAGGGTAGGGGGACAACTCAAGGGAGGATGGCCCTGGAAGAACCTTTCAGAGCCCTCTCTGCCTGAGAAGAGCGGGCTGTGCCTAAGATCACCGGTCCAAGACAAAGAGGACTCTCGGGGGCTCAAGAGCACCACCTGACCATGAAATTGGCTGAAGCCCCCTGCCAGCCTCTCCCTCCCCGGTCCTCAGGGCTCCAGCTTTGCCATGATCCTGTGACCCAGTGCAAGGCCAGCCTCCTCCTGCCAGGCAACCACTTCGTCCCCAGGCAGCACCAGCTGTGTCTGAAGGGAAAGGAGGGTTGTGGAGGGCCTGGGGAAGGGACAGATGTGACACAAAAGGGTCATTGTCCACACTGTGCCCACACTTCCAGGAGCTCCGAGGATGAGAGCTGCAAGGCAGGCTCTGAGCTGGAGGCTCCCAAAATAGCCAGGGTGCGGCCAGTGGCCAGGGATGGGCAGCTGACTTCATGCCACAAGCATCCCGGGGAGCCCAGCTGTCTGTGCCGCACCTGCTCAGCCAGCCTGAGCGGAACGCTGCCTTCGGTAGGATTGGCCGGGACAGGCCTGGGCCACCCACATGCAGACAGCCCAGAGGGGCCTCCAGAACCCGGGGGCACTTTACTCCCGGCCCTGCCCTGTCCTCACTGACCTTGGACTAGCCTCCCTCCCTTGACGGGCCTGGGCCACTTTGTAAGCAAGGTGGAAGAACTGGAGTGTATGCGAGTAGAAGCGCTGTTTTCCTCCCAACCCCTGGGACTGGGGAAGGGGTGTGATCTTACCACCCACGGCAGAACGACTCCTGTTCCCCTGGAGTGGGGGTGTCTGCGGGCTTCCTGTGACCCTTGCTTAGAAGAGATTAACAAACCCCATCAAAAAATAAACAAGTGACAAACTTTTACTTTCTTCCTGGCTGTGATTTACGCATCCACCACGAAGGCCCAGGGCCTATCACCATGCACACCCCAGGTCGGAGCTGTTGGGGTGCTGTGTCGCCTACCCCACTGAACCCTCTTGCCTTACCCAGACTCCTCCCAGCCCAGGCCCAGGATGGAGTTGGGGATGGGGGAGAGAGTGCATTGTGGGGAAGAGAAATGGAGCAGTCTTCCAGGTCCTGCCCTGCTCTGCAGCTCAGCTCTCCATGTGGGGTCCTGTCCACGTCTGGGGACCCGACAGGGGCCCTTGAAAATCCAGCAGCCCCTGCAGACTCTCAACCAGTCATGTTTACAAGAAATGAGGATTTTTCCCTGAGACAGTTTGGGCTGAGCAAGGATGAGGATCAGGGTTGTGAATGACAACTTCTAGGATCCCACCACAGACACTTCTCAAGAGTCACAGCTTCCTACAACTCGGCCAAATGCAGTTTGGGGCTGACTGAGGGAGCCCAGCTCCAGGCCAGGGAGAGTTTCTCATCAGGTGACATTTGCAGAGATTAGTTCAAGGAGCCATGCACACCAGAAAGGCATTCCCAATAGGTAAGCAGCAGGTGCAAAGGCCCAGAGGCAGCAGAAAGCTAGATTTGTTCAAAGACAGCAAGGAAGTCACTGTGGCCGAAGCTCATGGAGCCAGGCAGAGAGGACTGAACTAAGATGGGGGATGCAGGTTAGGGACAGATGGGAGACTTTGCACCCTATTCTGACTTCAACCCACTGGATGGGTGAGCAGAGAGAGGTGCTTTTGCTTGTCTAGAAGCCAGTCTTCTGCTGAAAGGGGCTCCATGGCAGCAGAGGCAGAGGCAGGGTAGGCACAGAGAACAGCGAGATCAGAATGGGAGTGCTGACCCTGCCCTGCCACAGGCAGCTGAGAGGAGGACAGGAAGTGGGCAGAATAGGGCGGGCAAGGTGACTCCTGATTTGTCTAACTTGCTGATGGACTCAGTGTATCCAAGCTAGGCAGGGCAGCCCATAGCCTGCCATTCAGCCCCTGTGACCACCATCTATGGCCTGGCCTAGGTCCTTGGGCGGTCAGGTAGCCCAGGATTGCTGGGGGCAATTTCTTTTCTGCCCTCACCCACTTTGAACACTAACCCGGAGCCAACCCAAAGGTCCAGGGCAGGACCATGTTTGCAGGACCCTGGGGGAGCCCAGCGCTGTCTCAGCTGTGCTGCTGGGGTGAGGCTGTCCTGGGCCAATGACCCCGAGGGTCTCCTCCAATCCTCTGTGCATAGAGGGCTGGGCCTGTGTCAGTGGAGGTTCTGTGCCAGAGGCCTGAGCAGGTGCTTCCTCAGGCTTTAAAGCACTGGGCCTCCTCACAGAGGTACAGCAGAGGCCCCGGGGTTTCTTGTGGAGAAGATGTCATACCCCTGGGGAGGTGAAGGAGGGATGGGAGAGGTAGAAAGAGGGGCAATGGAGGCAGGCGGAAGAAGGTGCAGGGCCCCATGGGGGAGGCAGAATGTGGAGGGTGCACGGCTGCAGAGGCCCCTCAGGGCCACACCCTTTTGGGCTGCTGTACCAAAGTAGCCTAGGCTTGCAAACCACAGGCATTTGCTTCCAACATCTGGAGGCTGGATATTCAACATCAGGGCACCAGCCTGATGGGTCCTTGAATGAGCCTTTTTCCGAATTGCAGATGGCCACCGTCTTGTTCCTCTGTGGCTGAAAGAGGGTGAGAGACCCCACTGGGTTTCTTCCATAAGGGCCATTGCCCTATTCCTGCCAGAGTGAACAGTCAGCCCAGGAATGACAAAATAACATAACATAAGCCAGATGATACCATTGTGTTTTTATTTTCTCTGTTAAATATAGCAAAAGAATTCACATATATGAACAGCTTAAGAAATTCATAAAACACCTGTCATATAGTTTGAGAACTATGATTAAAAAAATGTCTTCAAATAGAGAATTTGGCCAAGGGAGGTAGTGAATAGATTTCTAGAGGATTTGCAGCTGAATGCAGTTGAATACTAAACTTTCAAGTCCTTGGGTAGGGGTTAGGGTTGTGGGTCCCTCACACCCTCCTCACCCCACACGCTCATACGAACATTTACACAGCCACACACTTGCACACAGACCATGTGCAACACTGTCTGTCCTGATACCACCACCCAGCTGCCCTGCAAAATTCTCTCTTGGCTTCCCTCCCCGTGGAGTAGAGCCTGGTCCTCACCCCATGCCCTGTGTCCAAGACTGCCTGAAATCTAACACCTGCTTGGGAAGCCTCCAGACTCATCCCAGGCCAGGGTCCCACCACAGTCTTGTTCCCTGGTTCTTGTTATCTATGGGTCACAGGACACAGTGGTCCCAGTGAGCGTCTGACCAGGGCTAAGTCCAGGCCTCCAAACTGCAGACACAGTAGCCTCTAAGGTAGGCTTTGTACAGGTGTTCAGGCCCCTTTTACCCTAGACCCAGCAGGCTGGGATATGCTAGCCCCACCTGGCCACATGTGTGACTCCAGGGATGGGCAGGCTGGAGGGATGTCACGTGGATTCATCTCCACAGCGCAGCTACCCGTGCTCTGGCTGCTTTGACAGAGCAGCTGCCCTGGCCCAAAATGTCATCTGGGGACCAGAGGAGAGGGAGAGGCAGCTTTGCCCTGGCACCCTCTGATACCAACCCGGGGCCTGCAGGGGCTTCCAGCCAGCACACATCAAGCTCAGAGTCAAATTCCTGAGGCCTGATGCAGTCGGCCTCTTTATCACAGGCTGTCATTTGGGGAAGCAGGGCTTGGGGAAGTCATCCTGACCACCTCCAGCCCAAGTTGCAAGGGTTCATCTGAAAAATCCACCCTCAGACACTCGAAAGATCCATGCAGAGCTCCAGAAATCCCAGGAGGGGCCAGGGTCTCAGGAGAGGGAGTGCCAGGCCCCTGGACTGAGGAGGGTCTGACCATGGCTGTCTCAGTCAGGATGGCTCAGAGCACGCAGCCTGTGCTGGCTCAGCAGCCCAAGGAAGCCACAGCCTCATTTCTGCCCCTCAGCACAGAGGCAGCTGGCCTTCTTATTGAGGTCCAGCACATCTAGGGTCACCAGCTCTGCCCTAGGGAGTAAAATGTACCCCCCGCACACACACACACACAGTGCCTATGGGTCTGATAAAGGGGAAATCAACCCCACTGCACCCAGGCTTGACTTCAGTTGGGCTATTCTACCACTCAGACCTGTTTCAGTAGAGAGCTTGGTGTCTGCAGACTAAATGCCAACAGTCACGCAGAGTCAGTAAAGCTGGCGTGAACCTGCCACAGGGTCTGTTCTGTTGGAACTCGGTTCACCAAGTCCCCTGCAGGTGACATGCCAGGCCCTCAGCTGCTGTGGGCTGATGACTCCATTTCCTCAATGATCCTTACACTTCAAGCTGCTACAAAGCTCTCCTGGACCGGGTGACCAACATGGCTTAGCCTCACAGGGCTGTCAAGACGAGCGGTAAGTGACCACTGGCACACAGACGGAGCAGTCACGGTTGATGGGACAATTCGACAAGCTCTCCTGCCTCCACGCCTACTCAACGTGCTGCTCCATCTGCTCCTGATGGTCATCGGAGCTGCGTCTGATTTCAGGCTGTTGGGAACAGGCTGCTAGGACCTTTGTGCGCGTGTGTCTCAGTGCCTGCTTTCCCTGAAGTGTGTGTGTCTAAAGGCAAAGTCACTGAGAAAGACACCTGTACCTTCAGGTCTCTAAGGGTTCTGTGGTAGAACCCCTTCAAATGTGCCTCTACCAACTTGCACTCACTGTGTGAAAGGCCCCCTTCTCTGCAGCCCCAGCATGGTATTGCCCATGTTTAATTTTCGTCAGCTGTGTGGTGATACA